TTTTTTTTTGGTTTTTCGAGACAGGGTTTCTCTGTGGCTTTGGAGCCTGTCCTGGAACTAGCTCTTGTAGACCAGGCTGGTCTCGAACTCACAGAGATCCTCCTGCCTCTGCCTCCCGAGTGCTGGGATTAAAGGCGTGCACTACTACCATCGCCCAGCCTATGCATGGTCTTAATGCTGCCCATTTATGTTGTTTAAAGTGACCGATGTGGTCAATTTTATGTGCTTTTTGTTGTCTGCAATGCTTGCTTGAGCCCAGGGGACTCTGCACGCTAGCCCAGTGTGCTGCCATGGAGATAGCACTTGTCCACACTGACATTATACCTCTAAGTCTTTACTAGACCCTAGGTGTATTTTTTTTTATTGATTTTTATTGAGCTCTACATTTTTCTCTGCTCCTCTCCCTGCCTCTCCCCTCTCCCAAGGTCCCTATGCTCCCAATTTACTCAGGAGATCTTGTCTTTTCCCTAGGTGTATTTTTAACATGTATTTATTATTTGTGTGCATGTCTGAACACAGGTGTGGAGGTCAGCAGACAACCTTCAGGACTCAGTTCTCTCCTTCCAAACATGTGAATGAATTCCAGATGTCATGTTTAAGTTGTCAGGGTTAATGACTTTGTGTGCTGAGCCATCTCCTGGACCCTGATATATGATGTGTGTGTGTGTGTGTGTGTGTGTGTGTGTGTGTGTGTATTTACAGCAATTAAGCTGGGCATGGTTGCCTACATGTTTGATACCAGTGCTAGGGAGACAGAGGCAAGTGGATCTCTGTGAGTTTGAGGCCAGCTTGGTCTACAGTGAGTTCCAGGCCAGCCAGAGCTACAAAGTTCCAAGCCCCTACCTGCCCAAAAGGATATGTGTGTGTGTAGGTGTGTGCGCACTTGCACGTAAACTAAAGTTATTTTTTTTTATTTTTTTCCCCTCAAGACAGGGTTTCTCTGTGTAACAGCCTTGGCTGTCCTGGAACTAGCTCTTGTACAGCAGGCTGGCCTTGAACTAGCAGAGATACACCTGTCTCTGCCTCCCGAGTGTTGGGGATTAAAGGCACGTGCCACCACAGCCCCGCTTGTTTGCTTGTTTTTATTTACCGTTTTAAGACGATATCCCTACTGGGCTGGAATAAATAAAATGTCGCTACAACAAGGACCGAGTGCCGTCTCAGCTTCTCCCCCGGTGTTCCTGTGGAGAATTGCAGGCCACTCCCTAAGCACAGATTTTTCCATTGTTCACCAGTCCCTTTGGAGTCCTGGCTGCAGAGCTGGAATTATTTATCCTCCCAGGGAAGCTGGATCGCTTCAGACACCTTGCAGAAGCGTTGTCGCGAGAATCTTCCTCTTTTTTCTATAAAAGCTGATTTTTCTCTGTGTCATTGTAGCTTTGCACTCGGCCAACAGATAGCGCAGCCCACGCTCTGGGGGCTGACCGAGTCCCCGCGGCGCCCCGCGGTTCCCTGCGGTCCTCACCGGGACACGTGGCAGCCCTTCTCAGGCCCGCACACCGAAGAAGTCCCCCTGGTGGACGCTTCGGGTTGGAACTCGCGGTGGCCACTCTTCCAATCTGAGCCCTGTCAGCGCCGACCGTTGGCGTCAGCCTGCAAGCAAGGAAAAGGAAAGCCGTGGGAGGGAAGCTGCGTCCACGACCTGGCGCAGCTTTCACACCATTGCCTCCACAGAAGTCCTTCCTTTGCCTTCTGAAAGTATTAGGCTATTTCCAGGCATAAACTGTGGGGCTGAGGCCTCAGATGCTCGAGTCCTATGGTCCTAGTCTATCTGATGTTTCCCCAAATCTTTACTGAGTCCCTCCGAGGCAGAATAGAAAGACGGGAAAATCATCGTGATGTGGGAAATGAAAAGAGTCCCTGACTGAAGCCTCGACCTCTAGACTTTCAGCACAACTAGCATTTTTCTGTGAAGGTGGCCAGCATAATGTGTGTGTGTATATATATATATATATATATATTTTTTTTTTTTTTTTTTTTCAAATAAAATGTTAAAATATCGCCAGGCGGTGGTGGCGCATTTCTTTAATCTCCACTTGGGCGCAAAGGCAGATGGATCTCTGTGAGTTCCAGGACAGTCAGGGCTGTTACACAGAGAAACCCTGTCTGGAAAAAAAAATTTTTAAATATCAATGAACTATCCTTAAAGTCTGGTATACACTGTCTTCACGTTGACCACCGTGACAGGGAATGTTAATTGTGTTTAGACTCCCGATGCTGGGACTTCAACCAGGCTCAGGAATGGTGTTCCCATCTACCTGGGTGGTCCCTAGGCTTCAAACTCATGCACTTCGCTCTGCAGGCCCCACTGCTGTGCAACACCCCTCCCCCCTCCACGTCCCTTCCTCCTCCTTCAGCTGCAGTCAAACTCACCTTCCAACCAGCCTGATATTGGGACTTTAACAGGTCTTCCTGCTGGGGCATTCTTATCTGCAACTCCAGGGTCTCCCCCTGGCAACAACCCTATCTCCTCTGTGATCTTGCAGGTCCCCTACTGCTTAGGTTACCTTTCTATTGCTGTGTTGAAATACCCTGAGGATAGAGAGATAAAGGCAGAAGGGTTAGTGGTGACTCACAGTTCCAGATTACAAGCCCACCTAAGGGGAGGGAGGGGTCAGTCCAGACCATGGCCCTCCCAGTTAGGGTAGGTCTTCTCACCTCTATTAACTATTAACTAAATCCAGATAATCCCTCCCAGGTATGCCTAGAGCTTGTGGCTGCCTATCCTACATCCTGTCAAACTGGAGTTCAATCATCACACCTTATTGTAACCTTCCTGTTACATTGGGGATCTGACGGGGTGTGTGGGTGTGTGCGTGCGCGCGCGCAGCGCGCACATGCATGCCATGATAAACATGTGGAAGTCAAAGATCAACTTGTGGAGGGTCAGTTCTCTCCTTCCACCGTGTGGGGATTGGATCCATAACATTAGGCTCTAGAACAAGTGGAGAGCAATCTTGTTGGCCCCAAATTTTATTTATGAGTATGAGAATTTTACTTGCATGTATGTCTATGTGCCACATACATTTTTGGTGCCCAAAGAGGCTAGAAAAGGATCCCCTGGAACTGGGGTTACAACAGTTGTTAGCTGCTACTTGGGTGCTGGGGATTAAATCTGGGTCCTCTGGAAGAGCAGTTAGGGCTCTTAGACATCTCTGCAGTCACCCAAACTGTGACTTTTAAAATTTGTCATTTAAGGTCTTTGGTGACTTCCCTTGTCAGTCCAGTCTCTTCTCACCCCATCCATGCATTTCCTGTGCTCAGCCCTCGTGCCTCAGCCCGGGCTGCACACAGACGTGAAGTGGCCTGTACTCAGCTGAGGATTGCACATTCAAGGCTGCAGGAGCCGCCATAGAGAAGCAAACAGCTCCCTAGAGCTCTCCTGTTGTAGGATAATCTTTGGGTACTCTGTGAAGACGAGCCTCGATTCTACCTCATCTGCCCAAGGCACCTTCTGAAGAGCTGAGCAGCCTTAGATAGGCAGGAGAGGATAGGCAGGTAGGAACTCTGGGAAGAAACCAAAGAAGGCAGGATTCCCCAGACTCAGAGGAAGTAGGACACACTGTGCCGGGGAGAGGTAATGAGCCATGTAGTAGAACGTAAATTATATAAATGGGTTAATTTTTTGTTTTTTGTTTGTTTTGCTTTGTTTTGATGTGGGGTTTTTGTTTTTTGTTTTTTTTGGTTTGGTTTGGTTTTGTTTTTTTGAGACAGGGTTTCTCTGTATAACAGCTCTTGCTGTTCTGGAACTTCTTTTGTAGACCAGGCTGGCCCCAAACTCACAGAGATCTGCCTCCCAAGTGCTGGGATTCCAGGAGTGCACCACCACCATCACCACGCAGCTTAATTTAAGTTTTACGAGCTAGTTGGGAACAAACCTAAGCTAAGGCCAACAATTCATACTTAATAAGAAGGCTCTGTGTTTCATGACTCAGGAGCTGGCAGTCCAAAGAAAGCCCTGTTACACTCCCCCCTGGCCTTTCAGTAAAATGCTTCTTGTTTGCATCCGCATAAAGGCTACCTCTAAGTACCCCACCCTTGCCAGTGCCACACCTTGTCCATCTCCGAAGCCACTTCATCAACCTTTCTCACTAGCCTTGGAGGCAGCAGTTATGTCCAGTTCCCTAGCGTGCACTTCACACGTGGAGCAGGCTTTCAAACATTCCTTTAAAAAGTGGGTTGTGGCCGGGCGGTGGTGGCGTACGCCTTTAATCCCAGCACTTGGGAGGCAGAGGCAGGAGGATCTCTGCAAGTCTGAGGCCAGTCTGGTATACAAGAGCTAGTTCCAGGACAGGCTCCAAAGCTACAGTGAAACCCTGTCTCAAAAATAAAATAAAATAAAATAAAAGTGGGTTGTGTTGGGCCTGGCCTGGTGACCCATGCCTTCAATCCCAGCACTCAGGAGGTAGAGGCAGGCCAACAGGTGGATTCAAGGCCAACTTCGTCTACACAGTGAGTTCCAGGTCAGCCAGGGCTACATAGTAAGACCCTCTCTCAAATGTGTGTGTGTGTGTGTGAGTGTGTGTGTGTGTGTGTGTGTAGACAGATCGATAGGTAGGTAGACAGATAGATAGATAGATAGATAGATAGATAGATAGATAGATAGATAGATAGATATCACTTTAAATTTGGAAATAAAAAACAATTAGCATTCCTTGGACAGGTTTATTGAAACTGAGGTTGTCCTGCAGCCAAATTGTTTCCAGCACAGGCTGAATGACATCTTTCCAATTGCAAGGCCCTTCATCAAACCAGGACAGATAAACACCCATGCCTCCTGCGGGCAATTCAGCACTTAGCAGCCTTAAATAGGCTCTGCTGCTGGACGGTTCAGGCTCTCTGGAACGTTTGTTTGCACACCTGGCCTTCGCAGAACATTTCCTGTGAGAGGAAGGGGGAGGAAGAAGAAAGTTGGTGGATATTCTCAGCATGTTTGACACCAAATGGGGTTTTGCCTCCCACATGTAGGGTCTTCTCTGCCCTAACTTCTTCACTCTGACAGAAAACGGGTGTTAACAATTTAATCCTGATCTCTCCTGGTGTTGGTGTAAACCCACAAACAAAGGCACGGTTTTGTACTTTTTTTGAGACAGGGTCTCTACATAGCCCTGGCTGTCCTGGAACTCATTTCATAAACCAGGCTGGTCTCAAATGCACAAAGATCTGCTGACCTCTGCTTCCCAAGCGCTGGTATTCAAGGCGCTCGGTGCCATATCTGACCCCAGTTTTATACCGTCTAGATTGTGTTTTAGAGCTGTTGATTAGTTTGAGCTCTATGCTGCAGTCAGGAAGTTCTGATTGTGAAACAAATCAATGCTTCCTCTGTGAGGAGGCCTTAAAGAAGCAATCGAGTGAGCCGTGCCCCGGCCTCTCGAGAGAACAGGATGCACCAGGGACCTGAGCTTAATTCATCGTCGAGACCACCCTGAGACACTATTATTTTGGGGATTTCATATCATTCAAGCTAATCTCCCCAACTTGTTCTGTAGCTGAAGATGACCTTGAACTTCTGAAGCTCCTGCGGCCATCTCCCAATTGCCACGCTTACAGATGCGGGCTCCATTTGGGGTTTCCCACCTGCCGAGCGTGTACTCCGCCAGCTGAGCTACACCACCAGAACCTGCAACGGTATTCTTTAATATTCAATCAAGGATGTGTTTCATTAAAATGTCACTCCCTCAGCCAAATGGACCATGAAACAGCCAGCTCACCGCCTTAATATATGATTTTAAAAATACATGGTGAATTCCGCTGAGAGTGGCGCCAGACACCTTTAATCCTGGCAGTCGGAAGGCAGAGGCAGGTGGATTGCTGAGTTTGTGACCAGCCTGGTCTACAGAGTGAGTTCCAAGACAGCCAGATCTGCTAAACAGAGAAACCCTTTCTGTCTTTTTGTTTTGTTTTGTTTTTGAGACAGGGTTTCCCTGTAGCTTTGGAGCCTGTCCTGGGCCTATCCTGGAACTAGCTCTTGTAGACCAGGTTGGCATCGAACTCACAGAGATCCACCTGCCTCTGCCTCCTGAGTGCTGGGATAAAAGGCTTGTGCCACCACTGCCTGGCTGAGAAACCCTGTCTTGAAAAACAAACAAACAAACAATCTCTTTTTATTTCAAAATTACAAATTTTAGAAGAATGTGCATTTTAGATAGGTAATAGTGGCACATACCTTTAATCCCAGCACTTGGAAGACAGAGACAGGTGGATCTATCTGAGTTTGAGGCCAGCCTGGTCTACATAGTGAATTCCAGGATAGCCAGAGCTACACAGAGAGACCCTGTCTCAAAACAAAACAAAACAAAAAAAAAGAAATAAAGTAAAAAATATAAATACACAGTGAATTCAAGAGAAAAACTATCTAGAAAGCTATACAACATTCTTTTTTTAATATTTACTTTTATTTTCCAGTTATGTGTGTGTGTGTATGGGGGTATGTGCTCGTGAGTGCTGTTACCATCAGAGGCCAGAAGGGGAGGTTGGATCCCCTAGAGCTGGAGGTAGAGGGAGCTGTGCTGGGAGTCAGGTCCAGGTTCCTGCAAGAGCAGCACCTTCTCATCTGCTGACACCATCTCCAGTCCCAGGAAAAGGTTCTTTTGGTTTTGGTTTTTCAAGACAGGGTCTCTCTGTGTAACAGCCCTGGCTGTCCTGGAACTCACTCTGTACACCAGGCTGGCCTTGAACTCACAGAGATCCACTTGTCTCCTGAGTGCTGGGATTAAAGGTATATGCCACCACCATCTGGCATAAGTTCTTATTTTTATGTGCACGGGTGTTTTGTCTGCATTTACATCTGTGCACACATGCCTAAAGAGCCAGAGGAGGCCACAGAAGAGGCATTAGATCCTCTGGGACTGAAGTTCTAAACAGTGGTGGCCCACAGTGTGGCAGCAAGGAATTGGGTGGGGGTCTTCTGGAAGAGCAGCCAGTGCTCTTAATCATAGAGCCATGGCTCCAGTCACAGAAAATGTTCTTCAGTCAGGCAACGCTGGCACACCTTTAATCTCAGCTCTCAGGAGGCAGAGGCAGAGGCAGGCAGATATCTGTGAGTTCGAGGCCAGCCTGGTTGACAGATCAAGTTCCAGGACAGCCAACGCTACACTGAGAAACCCTGTCTCGAAAAACAAAACAAAAAATTATTTGTTTATGTAAATGAGAGTTTGCATGTATGCCCATGACAGAAGAGGGTACCAAACAGAACATGGCATTAGATCCCACTATAGATGGTTTTGAGCTAACATGTGGTTGCTGGGAATTGAACTCAGGACCTCTGGAAGAGCAGTCAGTGCTCTTACCCACTAAGCCATTTCTCCAGTCTCCAGAAAATGTTGCAATATTGAATAAAAAGGCAGACCATCCTGAGCAGGACATGAAGGTAACTTGCAAAAGTAAAAGTTAAAACAATGATCGAGAAGGGTAGGGCGACTGTCCATGGCTAATGCGTTGTTCAGCTCTCATCAGAGCGCCTTCCTCTAGCAGGAATTGGTGATGTCCACAATGGGACAACAGACCGGCAGTGGGAGACCTTAGCGCTCTCAGCACTGACTGGGACGTCTTAGGATGTCCCTGGAGGCTCAGGGATCTATGCTGAAGGGCAGAAAGACTGTGAGAGCCGGAGGTGGTGGGTGACTCCAAGGAGACAGCATTTCCTAGACACAACTCACAGAGACTGACAGCACGCAAAGGACCTACCTAGGTCTGGACAAAATCCAACCAGGGAGAAAAAAATGGCCAAAGCCCCTCCCCTAGCCACGAACCTATTTGCGATTGATAACTTCTTGAGAGAGGGGAAACCAGTTTTCTCCAGTGGTACTGGGTATTATCGGCCACACTCCAGGGAAAGTGGGTCAATGCAAACTAGACTCTAAGTTTTTGTTGTTGTTATGGTTTGGTCTTTCTTTCTTTCTTTCTTTCTTTCTTTCTTTTTTTTTTTTTAAGATTTATTTATTTATTATGTATACAATATTCTGTCTGTGTATATGCCTGCAGGCCAGAAGAGGGCACCAAATCTTATTACAGATGGTTGTGAGCCACCATGTGGTTGCTGGGAATTGAACTCAGGACCTTTGGAAGAGCAAGCAGTGCTCTTAGCCACTGAGCCATCTCTCCAGCCCTCCTTCCTTCCTTCCTTCCTTTCTTTCTTTCTTTCTTTCTTTCTTTCTTTCTTTCTTTCTTTCATCCTGTCTTTCTCTTTTGGGTTTATTTTGGTTTCCGAGAAAGAACATGGAATCAGGTAGTTAGGGAGACAGAATAGTCTGGGAAGATTTGGGTAAGGACAAAGAATATGATCAAAATATACTGCTATGACAACATTTTTTTTAAATAGTAAAAACATGTAATAGAGAATCAGAACAAGGGGATGGCAAGATGGCACAGAAGCTGACAGTTCCTGCAAAGGACCAGGGTGCAGCTCCCTGAACCCACACTGGGCAGCTCGCAACCACCAGTACCTCCAGTTCCAAGGGGATCCAGTGCCCTCTTTTGGTCTCTGCACACACTGCATGCATGTGGTGCACACACAGGTGCAGGTATACACTCACACGAATGAAAATAAAGAAATAGAGATTTAAAACTCTCCCCTCGCCGGGCGGTGGTGGCACACGCCTGCCTTTAATCCCAGCACTCGGGAGGCAGAGGCAGGCGGATCTCTGTGAGTTCGAGACCAGCCTGGTCTACAAGAGCTAGTTCCAGGACAGGCTCCGAAACCACAGAGAAACCCTGTCTCGAAAAATCAAAAAACAAAAACAAAAAAAACCCAAAAAACAACAACAACAAAAAACTCTCCCCTCCCCGCCAAAAATAGATTCTAAAGAACAAATGTGGTAGGTACCAGGTGGAGCTGGCCCCCTTCAATCCAGTGGCTCCAACCTCTGTTCTTCTTCTCCCCTTTCTGCACACAAGTGAGTTTGTCGTTCTCCCAGGTGACCAAGCTCTGCGTGAAGGAAGAGAGAAAACAACGCTTTGTTCTGGCAGGATCCCTAATATCATCAGGTAGGATGCATGCCGAGCTAACCTTGTGAAACTGATAGATAGCCTATGCTACATTTCAAAATTTTTTATTTTGTGTGTGTGTCTGTATGTGTTGCCTACATGTATGCATATATACTGTGTGCATGCCTGGTGCTCACAGATGTCAGAAGAGGGCATCCCTGGAATTGAAGTTGTAGGAGGATGTGAGCAGCTATGTGGGTGCTGGGAATTGGACCCCAGGTTCTTTACAAGAGCAACAAGTGCTTTTAACTGCTGAGCCGTCTCTCCAGCCCCGCGTCTATGTTATTTTCTTTTCTAGCACCATAGGGTGCTTGAAATCTTAGCCGGCTTTCATGCATGCCAAGTGAGAGCCCGACCTCTTAGTCACACCCTACTGCCTTACCATGCATTTTCTGTTATCCAGGCCTTTGTTATCTTCCTCAAATTCTTCTCCAACTTTGAACTTAACAAGATAATTCCTTAGACTGCTGTATGTGTGGATGGTAAAGGAATCCCCATTTTGTTCGATCACCTTCTGTGGCTTCAACAACTTGGCGATCTTACGAGTCGCAAAGTCGATACCTGGAAAGTTATTGTTCTTATTATATTTTTTATCTTAACATTTTACATTTATTTATGTATGTATGTGTAAGTCAGAGGACAATTTATTTTAAAACAGGATCTTACATAACCGCGCTGTCTTTGAACTTGGTGCAGAGTTGAAGGTGACATTGAACTCCTGATTCTCTTGCCTCTACCTCCAAGTATTGGATTATAGGTGTGTACCATCATGCTTGACTCAAGAGATTTTTTTTTTCTTGTGGGTTTTTTTTTGAGACAGGGTTTCTCTGTGTAACAACACTGGCAGTCCTGGAACTTAAACTCACAGAGTTCCAGCTGCCTCTGCCTCTCAAGTGTTGGGATTAAAGATGTGGGCCACTACACTCAGTGACTTAAGAACATTTTTGTAGGGGCTGGAGAGATGGCTCAGAGGTTAAGAGCATTGCCTGATCTTCCAAAAGTCCTGAGTTCAATTCCCAGCAACCACATGGTGGCTCACAACCATCTGTAATAGGGCCTGGTGCCCTCTTCTAGCCTGCAGGCATACACACAGACAAAATATTGTATACATAATAAATAAATAAATAATTAAATAATTAAAAAAAGAAGATTTTTGTAAATGTTATCTATTTATTTCATGTGTATGTGTGACACCTGCCTGCATGTCTCTGCACCACGGAGTACCCACAGAGGCCAGATGAGGGTGTCGGATTCCCTGTAACAGGGCAACTGGGAACCAAACCTGGGTCCTCTGGAAAAGCAGCTAGTAAGGGCTCTTAACTGAGCCATCTCTCTAGTCCCTCAAGAGGACTTTTTAAAAATTTGCTTTTGGGGCTGGAGAGATGGCTCAGAGGTTAAGAGCACTGACTGCTCTTCCGGAGGACCTGAGTTCAATTCCCAGCAACCACATGGTGGCTCACAACCATCTGTAATGAGATCTGGTGCCCTCTTCTGGCCTGCAGGCATACATGGAGGCTGAACACTGTATACATAATAAAGAAATTAATCTTTAAAAAAAAATAAAATAAAAATTTGCTTTTACTGGGGTGTTGAATTCTGTTCTATTTACTGGAAGGCAAAAGGAAGAGTTTGTCAAGTAGCAAGTGTACCAAGGTATGGTAGCTTAGACCTGTAATCCCTATACTTGGAAGACTGAGACAGGAGGATTTCCTGGACCAGCCTTGTCTACATAGTGAGGTCCAGACCAGCTTGACCTAAAAGGGAGACCTTGTCTCAATATAGATAAACAAAACCTCAAACAAATAACTCCCAGAACAAGCCTGCCAAGGCAACCATGGTACTCTGCTTATGATAACAGGGGCTCCAAATCCGTAAAATCAGAGCAAGCTGAACAGACTCAGTTTGCAGGGCAGCAACATACCGAGAGTCCTTTGGGAAGCAGGGACAGTGACAAGACCCCCTCTTGTGGACCCATGCACCCCACTGGTGGCCACAGAACAGGGTCCAGGACTCAGTTTTCCCACCGCATGCATAGGCTGCCGAGGCTGACTCTACCGGCTTGCTCATCTGCAGGAGTCTGCAGTGGTCTCCCTTACCCAGAGCAGGCCTTACTCTGGTGGGGGAACTGAATTCCTGAGGAGATTGTAGCTGCTGTCTGTCTGGTTCAGAGCCCTGGCCCATCCCGACCGTCCCCACACAGAATTGGATAGACAGGAATACAGGCATATCTGAGACTCGACAGACACAGAGGAGCACAGAGGAACCAGACTCGGGTTGGCAGGGACGATTGGCTGTCAGACAAGACAAGGGGGACAGAGGAAAGAGGATAGACAGAGGGGCTGAAGATGGGTGCGGGGAGTCAGGGACAAGGACAGGACTGAACAACATAACCCAACCGAGAGCATAACCCACGGGAGACAGGAGGACCTGGAACAGACAAGACAGGACAGATGGCCTTCGCTCAACCCCGAGACCCGAAGCTAGAGTCTTTCTCCCCTCCATTATCCCCTTTGCTGCACAACCCTCTGGTCCTACCCAGGGCCAGCATGTAGCCCTCGAAGTTGTCACTGCTGAGAAGGTTCCAGGTGCCGCTGAGGTCTGCTGGCATGGTCGGGGGTCGGCAGCCAAAGCCTGAAAGTCGGGGGACAATGCTGCCCTTATATTGTCATTGGGGCGGGAACAGGGCCAGGATGGGGCAGAGGGAACAGCAAGCCTGGTCAGTGAAGCTGGGGTGGGGGTTGGGGAGCCCTGGAAGCAGCCTCTGGCTGTCTCTCCTAGCTTCCTTCCCCTCCCACTTCTGGTTCTGTTCCTGCTCCTGTCACACACTACCTTGGCAACCCTGTTTCCTTTGGGACTCCCTCCTGTCGTTCAACTCTAAACACCTGTGACCCCAGAGTGTGTCCCAGGTCACCCTTTATTCCATGACCTGGATGTTAATGACTAAAGGAAGTGTTTAAGACTCAGCACGAAATACTGTGCTAACCACAAGTAACAGTACACGCATGAGCCCAAGGCCACACACAGGTATCCCAGAAAACTGAAAGTTTTACCTTGCTCAAGTTTAAAAAAATTATTTTTGTTTATGTGCATATGCCTACGTGGGTGTATACCACATGTGTGCTGGTTCCAGGAGAGGGTAGATCCCCAAGAGATGGAGTTAGAGGCAGTCTGCAGCCTCGCCCACCCCCACCCCACCCCACCCCATGGATGCTGGGGACCAAATTCAGATCCTCTGAAAGAGTAGCCAGTGCTCTTGGGGGTGTGATGCCTATCTAGTGTCTGCCTTGTTTTTGAGCAAGGGATTCGTGTAGCTCAGGTGAGCTCCTAACTCACTATGTAGGCCAAAGATGGCCTTGTGAGTTCATGATTCAGCTGCCTCTGCTGGATTACAGGTGTGCAACACACCCATGCACCAATCCTGTGCACCACACCTACCTGTGCACCACACCCGGTTTATATGCTTGGGCTTTAACACAGAGCTTCATGGGTAAAAGCCAACTGAGTCACATCCCAGCTTCTTACCCAGTATTTCTGTGACCGCTAGATTCCTAGGTGACACAGAATGGACGTCTGCAGTCCTGGGGACTTTTTACTTGTGGTTTTGACTTCACTGTCATGACTTGGATTTCAGATGTCAGCCAGGTGGAGAAGACTAGAGAATGTCACACGCCGTTATTCCCTCAACAGAAACTTCCTTCGCACAGTTCCAGTTACTGCTCATCTACGCAACATGTCAATTACTACTGCTAACTGCACGGGAGCCTGGGAGGTGTAGTCTTCAGGATGTAGTCTCTACAGCAGAGCGAGGCAGAGGAGGAGAGAGGAGAAGAATGGACTAGCTAGCCAAACTCAGGTCCTCTAGAAGAGCAGCCTTAATCTTAACCTCTGAGTCATCTCCAGCCCTGTGGATAGGCTTTATCTCCATCCATCCATCTGTAGGATTTTCTTTTGAGACAGGGTCTCACTATGCAATCTTGCATTCACTATGCAGAGCAGCCTGGCCTTTAATTCACAGAGGTCTGCCTGCCTTTGCCTCGTAAGTACTGCAAGTAAAAGCATGTGCCACCATACCTGGCCACAGAGATACTTCTTAATATCCATTTCACCTGCATCACAGCCTTGCTTGAGGTGTTCATATGTCTCCCACTCCAAGATTATTGCATGATGGGTAATCTTGAGGATCAAGGTGGTTGGGCTGAGAAGTGTGCCTAGGAGATCAGTAAAGCACACTGCATGGGCGAGGGCTCCCAAAGAGCTGCCCTGGATGTGGGTGGTATGATCCCATAGGTTATAGGAGCCTACAGGATGAAAAGAAGTCAGAGGGGGGCTACCGGGACAGGAAGTCTCTCTTTGCTTCCTGGCAATCAAGATCTGGACATATGCTCTGCCATGCCCTCCCCATTTTGATTTGAAACCCCTAATACTATCAGCCAAAAAGAAACCCCCGCTCCTTTAAATTGTTCCTCACAGGTGTTTGGCCACAGAAATGAAAAGGTGACTAGTACTTGCCTCTCTTTCCCTTGTTGGCTGGCTGCCTTTTTCCTTGCAAGCAGAGACTGTGTTCACGTCATTCACAACTAGAGTCCCCAGGCCTTGTGCTTCTGGCAAATGCTCGATAAACGCTTGAATGAATGAATGAATGCATGAATGAATGTGACCTTTTCCAGGGTGGGAGCAACTTTCCCAGAAAGGGCTGTTGACGCTCTCCCATCAGCTGGCTTAGGCATACCTTGAGGGCTACAAAACCATGAACTCTGCCCAGACTTCTGGAGTGTGAAACAGGACAAGAACAGAACAGCACCTACTTCCTAGCCTTAACCGTCTTATTGTTCCAGAGCCTGACCTAAGGTTGTATCTAATAATACTCTTAGCCTCTGTGCTGGTTGCTATGGCTTTGGGCCAGCTTGAGCAAAGGTCACCTGTTCTACACAGGATGGAACTGCAGCTGAAGGGGACAGAGATTTGACTGTTCAAAGGTTCCAGAATCACGTTTCTCCTGTTCAGTTCCAGAAGATTCACTCTAGGAAGGACCAGAAAGTATTGCTGGAAAGGGAAGAAAATCAAAGAAGGAAGGTATTTGCCCCCGTACCCCGGGCTTACGGCTAGGGGCTCAACTCTAAACTGTGGACAAGGTGAGGCTCTGGACCTGCTCGGAGACCTCCTCCTCGATGGAAACTGGACAGGAATGGATGAGGACACTTGGAGCGGGAACTGTTATTTGATGGAATTATCTCTCCTCCCTCCTGTCAGGAAACAATATCATCCAGGGAGTGTCTCCAATTTTGGGGATAGACCCAAATTAGTTTAAGGTTAACCCAATCACCGCAGGCTTCTCTCCTTTGCCAAGGACTGGCTTTAAGGATATGAAACTTCCAACGAATTTGAAGCACGCAGTGACTTGCGACGGGCTGCTGGGAAAGATGTCTGATTTGAACTTTTCCCCACATCTGAACTCGGGCAGGCAGCTGGCTTGTTTTCTGGGCCAGGAGCACCGCACCTTCCAGCTCCAGGGGAACAGAACTAGGACACTGTGACTGGCAGGGACCGTGATGACTCTGGTGAGTCACTCGCACGAGCCCTGCATCCTGTCCTACATCTGCGCTTCTGAACACAAAGGTCTTTATTGTTTAGGCCACTTGGGGTTGAGCTTCCTCCAGTGGACAAATCTGACAGAGAGAACATAACGTCGAGGTATTTTCTCCTCCAGCAACTGTCTTGCCTTTGGTCACCTATGTGACCAGGGGGACATTCTGATTCAATGCTGTGCGTGGATCCACTGTTTTTGAGTGTCTGTGTTGAACAAAATGCTACTTCATAAATACTGTTCTCTCAACAGCAGTATTGTGGCTGGAAACACATGAATTCTGTTTTGGGGACTCTGCCACTTTGAGTGGTACCCCTGCAAAGTTTGGACCCTAAATAACCTACATGGACAGCTGGGGACCAACACAAGGGGCACTGAGCCCCTCAGTCTTGCTTGGCCACACCACTAAGGAAAGACATCACGTGGATCATTTCTATCTGCTGCGTTCCCATGAAGTCGGCTCTTCCTCACAGCACAGGGACAGAGATAGATGGCTTCTTTTGTGCACTTATTTTGGAGCATTCTATGGTGGCAAGACCAGATTCAATGAAATCTATCCTCTAGCGAATTATTTTATGTTGGAGACAAGGTGTCAAAAGAGCCCGGGCTGGCCTTAAACCTCTAATCCTCCTGAGTACTGGAATTCTAAGCATGTGCCACCACATCTGGCTACCTTCTTGTGAACTTTGTGTTCAATGTATTACTGCTGACTATAGGTACGATATTCTACAGGGACTCTTGATCTTTTTAGTTGCACTATAAAATGTTGGAAGGGTATGTGTGCGTGTGAGCATGTGTGAGCACACACACACTCAGACAGCATCTAGATGACTTTGTCAGATCTCCTGGAACTGCAGTTTACAGGCCCTGTGAGCAACCATGTGACTGCTAGAAACTGAACTCAGATCCTCAGCAAGTGCTCTAACCACCGAGTCACTTCTCCATTCTCAGATTTTTTTTGTTTGTTTGTTTTTGGTTTTTGAGACAGGGTTTTCTCTGTGGGACAATCCTGGCTATCCTGGAATTTGTTCTGTAGATCAGGCTGGACTCAAATTCACAGAGATCCGCCTGCCTCTGCCTCCCAAGCGCTGGGATGAAAGGTGTGCCCGCCACCCAGTCTCCCTTTTCCCTTAAAGGAAGGCACAGCAACTGTAAATTCCAGAGCTGGAGAGATGGCTCCGTGGTTAAGAGCAATGACTGCTCTTCCAGGGGACCCAGGTTCAATTCCCAGCACCCACATGGCAGCGCACAATCACCTGTAACTCTGGTTCTGGGAGATCCAATACCTTCTCATTCTTCTCAGGCACAACCGGTGCACAGATACACATGCAGGCAAAACACCCCCACACATAAAATATAAATTAAAAAAAAATTGTAGTTCCCATTATCCGGAGAGGAAGTTCTGGTCTTGAGGACATGTCTACCTTTAGCAGAGCTATTCCCAAAAGCCAAGTATCAGGTTCTGTGCCGGAAGTTCACTCACAGTGTAATTCGGGGATCCCTGGGAGGGTCCCCGCAAGCCTTGCCCATGGGGTCCGAGGTGATCATAAGGTAGTAGGGTTCCAACATTTCCAAACGGGAGACACTAAGGTCTAAGGGAAGGTTACAGCAGTAACCCGTACAGCTCACGGCACACGAGATGAACTGTGTGTGCTCTGCCAGCGTCACGTCTGGTGGCTCTGCTGACTACGGTTACCGCTCAGGGCTGTCTCGACTCTTTAGGGTCCTTATCGTGTCTCTACCGATGGAGATCTGGCCATCCACAGTCAGCCAGCAGGTACTGATACTGTGGGTGCCAAACTTTCCATCTCTGACAGCTGCTGGATGGCTTTAGTAAGATGAGCAAACATTTCTCTCTGACATCAGATTTGGATCTGACAACTGCACAATTACTTTTTCCTTCTGTGGAAGTACAAAATCTTCCTCAAGAGAGGTGAGCATCAAACGCGAATTTTGAGGGAAATTTAGGCTACTTGGGAGACAGGCAGGCAGATCTCTGTGAGCCCTGGGCCAGCCTGGACTGCATATGGAGATTTCCCATCTCAAAAATTTAAAAGTGGCCGGGCGGTGGTGGCACACGTCTTTAATCCCAGCACTCGGGAGGAAGAGGCAGGTGGATCTCTGGGAGTTCGAGGCCAGCCTGGTCTACAAGAGATAGTTCTGGGACAGGCACCAAAGCTACAAAGAAACCCTGTCTCGAAAAACAAAAAAAAAAAAAAAAAAAAAAAAAAATTTAAAAGGGGAAACTATCTTTTTTTGTTTTTTTTTGTTTGTTTGTTTTTTTTCTGTAGCTTTGGGGCCTGTCCTACAACTAGCTCTTGTAGACCAGGCTGGCCTCAAACTTACAGAGATCCACCTGGCTCTGCCTCCTGAGTGCTGGGATTAAAGGTGTGCACCACCACCACTGCCCAGCTCAGGTGAACTTGAACTCCTGATTATCCAGTCTCCATCAAGTGAGTGCTGAGATTATGAGTGTGTCCCACCATGTCCAGTTGAGAAGTTTAACTTTACCCCTGTACCAATTGCAAGACCACTTTCATAAAAGTCCACACTGACCCAGTACCACCCCCTCCTCTGGTGGCTGCTAAAAACAGGACCATCACATGAGTGCCAGACACCTAGTGAGGTTCCCAGAGACACTGACTCAGAGACACCCTGGGTGAAGTCAGTGAGGTCCAGTAGGAGCCAAGATGAGGCTTTTCTACCATGTGTTTGCCACACTGGCTGCTTCTCCATTAAATTCTCACATTGATTTGACTGCGGGGAAAGATCTCCAGGGCTCATTCTAGAACCCCCTAACAATGTCAGAAGCCCGTGGGGCAGATTTCTGAGGGCTACCATGCACAGTACACACAGAACCCTGCCAACTGCAGGGCTGGGTCCTAGGGAAGGAGGACCTGAGCAGACACTGGCCCACAGTCCTTGGTGCCCATCATCCCCACCCAGTTGAACCCATGATTCAGGGCCAACCTGACCCTGAAGACCGCACCAGGCACTGACTATATTTTCCAGGAGAAAATCCTAACTGAAAAAACAAAAAATGTGGCAAATTCCTGTAAAATTTCAATCAGTAACAAATCACGTAATAACTTTGTGTTTTAACAAAAAGCTATGATCTCAGTTATTGGGTCAGAGAAACAGCACCAGAAAAATGATGAGGCAATGGACCCTTCCTCGGCATAGGTGCAGGACATGCAGCTTCACACGGCTGGCACAGAGACCACAGGGCTCTTCAGAAACTGACAGCTTCAGGTGGAGCAGCAGTCACTGGCTCCAAGGTCGAGGCAGGGAGGGCTGCTGGGGCTGACCCACTCCACTCCTCATGTTCTTAGGAGCTTCATTCATCTTTTAATTATAAAATTATAGACAGGGGCTGGAGAGAGGGTTCAGTAGTTAAGAGCACCGCTGCTCTTCCAGAGGACCCAGGTTCAATTCCCAGCACCCACACGGCAGCTCACAACTGTCTGTAATTCTAGTGCCAGGGGACCCAACACCTTCACACTGACACAGATGTGGGCAAAACAACAATGTCTATAAAATATAAGTATATTTTATAAAATTATAAATAAAGGTGAAGAGGACAGTGGTGGTGATGCTTTTAATCCCAGCACTTGGGAGGTAGAGGCAGGCGGGTCTCTGAGAGTCCCGGGACAGTCAGGGCTACACAGAGAAATCTTGTCTTGGGGGAAAAAAAGAAAGAAACCCACAAAGAACGGCTGGTTAAAATATGAATGCTCTTCACCTTCATTTATTTGTTGTTTTTTGGGACAGGGTTTCTCTACAGAGCCTCCCAAGTGCTGGGATTAAAGGCGTGCATCACCACTGCCCAGCTCTTTGAGATTTTCTTTTTTTTTTTTTAAATTTATTTTAATTTATTTATTTATTTTATTTTTTCTTTGAAATTTTCTTAAAGGCACTGAGACATTGTCTTTGAAGCTGTCCCCAGAGTTAAAAAGAACGGTGAAGAGTCAGCAATGAAGCTTTGCTAAGACGACATCTGAAGCAGAGCCTGTCCCCACCCCCGCCTCCAAAGCGGGGTTTCAAGCAGCTACACCTGGGCAAAGCTTCACCAGCTTGGTTTTATTTCTCTCGTGTGGGTTAGCTACTGTTTAGGAATGGGTTCTCTATTGCTACTGTGTGGGTCCTGGGGCTTGAACTCAGGTTGAAAGACTTG